CCCCCCCCTCCCCGGTGCAACTAAAATTCTACTGCTGGTGCGCCATGGCTGAAATTTGGCACATTAAGTTGAGAAAAATATTTCGCGGGACTGGAAATTTCAGGTCCATAGCATTGACAGTTTTTTAAAGATACTTCACAACTTCCACTACTTCTTTTATCTACCCTCGTATAATATGAGGGGAGCATAGATAATGCAGTTATTTTTAAATGTCTTAAATCCCATGGACACAGTTTAGATTGTATAGGTGGCGGGCTGCTTTGACTCCGCCTGTCAGAGCCATCCCAAGCAGAGTGGGACACAGCATCCTTGCAGAAAGACAATGATAGCGCATAAACTACACTTCCTTGCACAGGAATTAAAGTCAAATTCTGTGTTTAATGGTCAAAAGCCTAATCATTAAACCACAGATGCCAGTAGAAAGTTTTGTGCCAACAGACAGAAACGTGACACGATAGAAAGAAATATTATGAGGAACTTCCACTGAAGACAATGATAGTTACCTTAGCATACTTATCTTTCAGATTTTGGACACAGTTTTCTAGCAACATATATTTTCATACAAATGAATATGCAAGGCAACACCATAGGGTAATAACACAGGCTCCAAACAGAATAAGACCACAGCTTTTAAAAAAGTAAAGCTCTATGATGCACAAGCAGTTTAACAATGCATCTTAACTCATTTAATTTCAAAACATTCATTTAAAAAGGTATTCATGAGCTTCAACTCTGTGAATGTTTCTTACCTCAATAATGGCTTTCATGACAAGACCGGCACCTTTCACAATTGCCATAGATGGATGCTGTAATTACAATGAAAAAAAAAATAGTTTTGAAATAGGAGAAAAAAAAAGGAATTAGTCACAAGAAACAGTAGGTTAAATACTTACGGACGGTAGGAATTATATAAGAACAGATAAGGATAAATATAGCATGTGAAAAAAACTTGCTTTCATAATCAACTGATCAAATACTTGAGGTAAATTTAGAAAAAAGACTTACATCAAATATATGTAAGTCATAAAAAGAAATACATTTAATGGCTCTTTGTGTGGGCAAGCACAACTCTGATTAAAACTTCCAGCACTTTAGAGCTCATGCCTAAAAATGGAGAGGAGGAAATCGTTGTACTTTTGCTTTTAACGCCTATTTACATCAAAGCTGAAAAATATTCTGTAATTGACTCAAACCAACTCAATGTCTGTCATCAACTGCTGCAGTTAATGTGCGGGCTTGCTTATAAAATTGATAACTCTGGGTCAAATCATGGTACCTGGGCTATTCACATTTCAGGGTAAAAGAAAAACTGGAAAATGCATATTTTTAGATGAAAATGTATTTCAAAATGCTGGGGTAGGGCAGATACTGTATAATTTTGTCAAAACATGGTCTTTTGTGTAACAAATGTTTTTCTCATAACTTCCCTTATTTATTGGGTTTTCTCATCTACTGTTTCATTTCATATTTGATTCAAGAGAAACCAAGCCAACTACATGCTCCGCGCACTTCTGCTTTCGTTGCTGTTGTTGAATTTTTTTGGTGTTTTACTGTCCTTGCAACTGTATAAAGTCATATGAGCGCGCGGGACACATTAAACTTTTTCAGTTAGTAGGAAATTTGTGAATATTGCCCGCGTGACAGCCGAAGCCTAATCTATATCGATTTAGGACCACCAAGATTTTTTGCCCCTGATTTATCAATGCTCATACTGTGCCGAAACAACATAGGGGGAACTGCAACTTTTTCTTTCCTCATCATTGCTATCGTCATTTCTCCTCTACTTCTTTTGTATATTTGTCACTCTTTTGTGAACTGCCATTTCTTGGATGCCTTGATAGTCGAAGCAGACTTTGTGCTGTTGAGGCTAGAGAGGTGAGCATAGAAAGCCCGATTCCCTATTTGGAATTCTCTGTTGACATCCACCCCTTGGCGCTCATATGATGCAGTTGCGAGAGAGAGCCGTAAACCGCACTAAAACTTTTTTAAACTCCCCCCCC